CTTCCGATTCTGTGTCTCCCTCTCTCTCTGCTCCTCCCCTGCTCATGCTCTGTCTCTCTGTGTCTCAAAAATAAACAAAAACATTTAAAAAAAAGTTTTTAAATCATTCTTTGGAAGATGACTTAGTTATGTGTTCCACCCAGTAAATTTGAAGATCTAATTGGCTTTATTAAATGATTCATAAATTGGGCAGCATCTCACGTAGCAAGTAGAGGGCAGCTCTGAGGAGTTGTACAAAACGGAAGTTTTTTATAGGAAGGAGGGTGGGGCAAGAAAGTTACAAGCAAAAGCAAGGAAAGGACTGTCTCCATGAACATCACCTTCCCTGAGGGAGAAGGGCAAGGGGTCTTATTATACAGATTACCTCATCTTCCTTTGGGAGGTAGAGGAGGTCCAAGAGACAGATGATCTCATTGGCGCTTATCAGAAAATTCCTGACTGACGGGTTAAGACTTACATTTCTGAGGGAGGTTGAAACTACAATTAGATTAGGTATTAAGCCCTGGTCTACTGACTTGGGGCCTTAACTCAAGTGAGGCTACTTTGGGCCTGTGGTTTTCTTTTTAACCTCAGGAAACATGTCTCCAATAAATTATGAAGTGAAAAAAAATAGATGTCATAACTGAATGTGCACTATGGTTACTTGTAAATATTAAGAGATAAAATTTACAAAAAAATAAAATTAAATATACGTATATATGCACATATTTGATAGCTATACATACACCTAACACACACACACACAAACACACAATATGCAGAGAAAAAGACTGGACATTTATACACAGCAACATGTTAACATTTGGTGATTGTCTCTTAAGAGATTTTTGTTTTCTTTTTTTTCTGATTTATCTAAATTTTCTAAAATTTTCAAATAAAATTGACATAAGAAGAAGAACAGTGAACATTTATAGGTGTATGTGATTAGGGGCGCCTGGGTGACTCAGTCAGCTGAGCGTCCGACTTCGGCTCAGGGCATGATCTCGCAGTTCGTGAGTTCGAGTCCCTCGTCGGGCTCTGTGCTGACAGCTCAGAGCCTGGAGCCTGCTTTGGATTCCGTGTCTCCCCCTCTCTCTGCCCCTCCCCTGCTCATGCTCTGTCTCTCCCTCTGTCTCAAAAATAAACAAACAAAAATACTTACATAGGTGTATATGATTATTAAAAAGTCATTGGGTAGCGTACATAGGAACTTATCAATCTTCAGAATCTTGAAGCCATATGGGTCAAAAGCATAAATGAGCTCAAAGAATGAAATTAATTGAAATTATGGCTAATGACTCCATAGAAAGTAAGAAATGTTCACGATAAGAATGTGTCAAATGTGTTTGAAGTAGCTACCATAGAAGCAGCAATCCATTTTTACAAAGCCTCCTGAACAATGCAGAGGGGGGAAACGGGACCTGAGATAAGAAAGGGACACAGAAATTGCTGTCACTGTCAAAGAGTGGAAAAGAGACTAAATGGATTATCACTCTGACCCAACAGGATGTTTCTGATGGTCTCTTTTTCAATCACTCCACTACTCATCTGATACTGATTGTGCACAAGGCAGTTTAACAGTTAAACAACACCTGAGACAGTGTTTGACGTCTTCTAAGACATTTCATTTTTTTTTTTTTCTGTTTATTTGTACCAAACACCCCGGAGATAGGCAGACCACTCTTGTTTTTAATTTCCTCCCTACGACATCCATCTATAATTGTTGTGCTTGTCTTTAACATTTTACTCAAAATGCACTCTGGTTACCAGTGCCCTTTCCTTGGGTAAACACTGGGGCTTTACAAAAAAAGGTTTTCAATTCATCTTGACCCATGAACATAAAAGTAATCACTGGGGCATAACTGTTCCAATTTTCATTCTACCCCTCCTTTTTCTCTTTCCTTTGGTTAGACGTTCGGGTTCTAGTGCTTTCTTTGCCATTGAGAGCTGTGTGATCTTGGACAAGCCACTTTTGTCCTAGTGCGACACAAGTGATACGTGTGAAGCTACAGTCCATGGCAAAGCATTTAACAATATGATTACTGAACTAGATGATCTCTACATTTCTCTGAAGCTCTCAAATTTTTTTTTAGTCTATATTTTTCGTTGTATTTTTAGTGAATTCATGTGATCCAGGAATTGCATTTTGGCACATTTTGGAAGTCTCCCTCCATTACACCAGAGCTGCTGCTGATTCAGTAAGTACAGAATGATTTGTAACTCTAATAGTAGCACTAAAAACAGGTAATTCTTCAATTGCTGAGGTTGAAAATTACCACAAATGATGCATGATTTTAAGGAAAAGGCTGAGTCATAGCCAACACCTAAAAACTTTTATTTTCTACATTAAACACCCCCTCCCCAGCTTTTGCCTTCTTAAATCTGACACATTTAAATCTTTAGATGGAATCAACTGAAATCACATTTGAAAAGGCTACAGCTACTCATACGGCATTTTAGAGCATTTTGCTGGAAATTGTCAGTGCTGGAATAGTGACTATGACAGGCAGGAGACAAATCAGGAGGCTCACCAAATATATACATAAAATCATCATCACATCTCAGAGTTGGAAGGTCGTCTAAAAGTCATTTAGACTAGTGAGTACTAGAGTGTTTGATTTTGAAAGCCTATAAAAATTCAAAATAAACAGCAACAACAAAAAAGGAGGCAAGCATAAACAGGTCGACTTTTAACTTTGATAAGTAAGGGTATGAACAAAAGAACAAAACAACCATCCCCTATTAGGGCCATTTTATAAAAGGTCACTTTATTTTTTAAAAACTGTTAGCTTTTTTTTTTTTCTTAATGTTTTATTCATTTTATCTATTTACACCCCATGTGGGGCTCAAACTCACCACCTCAAGATCAAGAGTTGCATGCTCTTATGACTGAGCCAGCCAGGTGCTCCTATAAAAGAGCACTTCACTTTTTTAAAATTTATTTTTAATGTTTATTTGTCTTTGAGAAAGAGAGAGACAGAGCGCAAGCTGAGGAGGGGCAGAGAGGGAGACACAAGCAGGCTCCAGGCTCTGAGCTGTCAGCACAGAGCCTGATGTGGGGCTCAAACCCATGAATGGTGAGATCACGACCTGAGCCGAAGCCAGATGCTTAACCAACTGAGCCATCCAGGCACCTAACAGGGCACTTTAATGACATGTGTAGGAAGACAAATATCTAAGAATAAAGTACAACTTGAAATTAAATAAAATCAAAGAAAAATGCGTTATACTGCTCTTATGTTCCTAATATCTTTATGGAAAACTGTTAGACTTGCCCTTGTCCCTACACCGACCTTTGGAAATCCCTAATCTAGTCCATTCCATGCACACCTCTGCCTCCATCCCATCCCATCTCCCATTCCACAATGGAGTTGTATCCTCACCAGACCCCCTCCCCCCTCCAAAAAAAAAAAAAAAAAATCCCTCTAAATGTATGCCCCATCTGCCCTGTGGGGATCTCCTCAAGGTGTGGAATCCATTAAATTTTGGATGTCTGTGGTAGAAAATCAGCAGAATAGTAGCTATCTCTGGAAACTTCAAGATGCTTACACCTGGCTTTTCTTTTTTTTTTAAAGACCAGAATCTAATAGCAAGGAATTTTAAGTAGGCCAACCGCGCTTTAGAGTCACTAAAGGAAAATGTCTAATAGTGCTGATTTGGGAGACAGACAGCGTGAGTTTAGGTAGCGCATCAAAACTTCATTCTAAACCTTAGGGGATCTGTTTTCACATTCAACATATTTGGACTAGAGCTTTATGAATACAAGTATTTAAGTAGGAATCAGAATCACATGGAGGAATTTTAGTTATCTTTCAGGATGAACCCCATTACTAATTACTTAATCAGCTTTCAAGGTTGCAGTCGGGTCTACAATTTTTTTTCCATTTCCATTTTAATGAAACTATTTTGAGAGATTTCGCTTAAACTTCTACAAGTGGGGTTTGATTCATATTACAGTTAATAGCATCAGCTTGCGGAGCTTTCTTTTGTGATCATTACTACTAAGCCGTTTTCTCGGGTCAAATTTTATAAACCAAAATGTGGTCAACATTTTTTAAAATCAACTTATAGTAAAAAGTTTTCCTCTATACACGTTAACAGTAACATTACAGTTTGCTGTTTTAAACGTTATCAATTTTATTTTTGTGATAGTTATTTCCACCCTATGTTTTTTGGATCAGTACTACAGTTTTGAATATGACCAGTCACTACGGAGTTGTTTTGGAGGCGGGTGGGGGCGGTGGAATAATAACTTCTACATGCAGTTTTCCCACAGTTGTAAATTTTATTCTGTTGACTGATCTGCCACTAAAATTCAGTCGGGTATTGGTTTTTTCCCTGGGGACCAACTGTATCAGTGGAGAAACAACACAAAGACATAGGGCGGCAGGATAACTCCTGCTTCCTTCTTTTCCCTTCCTGTAATATGAGCTTCTCCAAAACTCCATAAAGCGCAGAACTCTAATTCTTAAGACTAAAGAGCTGGATAGACTCAGCCAAAACCGGGAACCCTGAGCAAACGCAGCCCAGCTACGTCTGCTTTGCTCTTCTTCTCCACCAGAGGTGACAGCCTCTCGCAAAACAGAACTGGGCTGGAATAAGCCGGTCTGAGGGAGTGGCCGGAGGAAAGATCGAAGGTTAAAAAAGGGCCTCAGATAAGGAGCAAAGGTCAGCACCCAACTCCCAAGGAGGCCAGAAGTTCCCATCTTCCACGAAAAACGAAGGTGACTCCTCCCTAACAAGCTCTCGAGGCCGCGGGCCACGGGACCTTTCAGACACCAGGCGGGTTCGACGTGACTGTTTAACAGGTAGCAAGGTTGGACGAGCCAACAACCGGAAGTGGAAGTGAGCCCCGGGCGGGGGTGAGGAGAGCCCGTTGCACGCCTGCGCAAGCAGCAGGATTGCATTACGCAGGCGCAGTTGGGCGGTGACGGGGTGACGCTCGAAGCGTGGGCCGCGACTCTCACGGATCCGGTTCCGCCCTCCCTCTGGTTGCCGACCCTCCGGGGCTAGCGCCTGAGATCCCTTTCCCAGAGTGCTCTGCGCTGTGAAGAAGCGGCTCCCGGGGACTGGGGGCATTTTGTGTTGGCTGGAGCCGGAGTAACAAGATGGCGGCGTCGGCGGAGTGACAGGAGTCCCTCCGGGCGGGAGCCGGCGGCAGTGGTGGCAGCGGTATCGCCGCCCTAAACCACCGCGCCCCTTTTCCAGCCCGCGACGTCGCCGTGAAAGCGAGGCAGCGGCGGCCGCCCAGGAACAAGTGGCCCAGCCTGGTAACCACGAGAACCCCCTCATAAACTGCGGCCTGGCAAAAAGAAGCCGGACTGAGCGGCGGTGATCAGGTTCCCCTTGACCGAGTCTAGGCCCTGTAACGCCTGGAAAGAGTCAGCGCTTGCCGTTTCCTGCCGCCCTCCTCCGCAGCCTGCTCAGTGGACGAGCCCCAGAGGCCTCTGTTCTCCCCTCAGAGGTGTCGGGGCTTGGCCCCAGCCTCCATCTTCGTCTCTCAGGATGGCGAGCAGCAGCGGCTCCAAGGCCGAATTCATTGTCGGAGGGAAATATAAACTGGTACGGAAGATCGGGTCTGGCTCCTTCGGGGACATTTATCTGGCGATCAACATTACCAACGGCGAGGTAATCACCTGGGGTGGGGTTCACGACCACGCTGCGCCAGCCCTCACTCCCCACCCCAACCCCCAAAGTGCTCAGGCCTTTCCCCACCGCACGCACGTACTGGGGAGGGGAGTCCAGAGGGAGCCAGTTTTCCCGGCTTAGGAACCTCCCCCGCTCTCTTTCCCTAAAAGGCAAAGAACCCGATAGAAAGGTTGGGAGAACTATGAAGTTTCCCAGCTTGTTGAAAATGCACCTTAATCGAACTTTTTTAAGCCGTCGTTTAAGGTGAGAACGGCAAAACCGTATTTCTGGGATCCCCGTGTTTTTCTCTCTATATGGATTTATTTTGTTGGGGTTCTTGCTTGCGATCGTCAGTTTCCTTCTAAACCTTTCATTACGTTTTCTGGATGAATCATTTTCCTGCACCTTCGAGGACGTGCCGATTTCGTCACTATCCCCTGAAGAGGCCTTTGAGGCCGGTTGCCTCGTTTTACAATTTGAAAGAGAGCTTTCTCTCTGGGCCTCGTACTTCCCCTTGTAGTCTCGAGTCGGAGCTTTCCTAACGTCTCCCCTCCTTTCCCAAGTGACATTGAATCCTTAGGGATGTTGATGCCATCGTCCCCTCTCTCCCCTGCAGGAAGTGGCAGTGAAGCTAGAATCTCAGAAGGCCAGGCATCCCCAGTTGCTGTACGAGAGCAAACTCTATAAGATCCTTCAAGGTGGGGTGGGCATCCCCCACATACGGTAAGAACCCATAAGCAAACAGGCGGCGCACGGAGGGAAGTATGGAAATGGGGGAAATGGGTAGAGGCAGGTAGGACCACCGGCTGGATCCGGGCCTTGGTGTTTGAGTTTCCTGGGTTTACTATAGCCGGTGGTTTCCTGTGAACCGTGAGACGCCACAATCACTGAGTAAATTTTCAGTTTGCCAACTTCGCGTAGAATTTCACTTTGTTACATTGTGCTCCATTTAGCTTCCGTCATTCTTCCCGAGGCTTTCATTTGCAGTTAAGTGTGCGGGTCGTCTTTGATCCCTACGCGGAAGGGTTGTCTGCTGCTTTCTTTGCGCCGGCACCTCTGATGTTCTTAGGTTTATCCAGGGAAGTGGATTTGAAGCTGCCAAGTGACCGGGTTCGGCCAGTTCGGGTTGCTATTGGAGCTGGCTTGGGAAATGGCTGCTCTTTTGTTGTGTTTTTGTTCCAACATGTCTTCCTCCTCCGCTTAGAAAATGGCGGAACGACGTGACTCAACCACATATTCCTGCCCTTTTCTATGCTGGGGTTCACAAGTGACCCTTCCTTGATTCCCCCTTTAGCAGCCCTGAGTGGATTAAACCTTTGAAAAGCCAAGAATAAAGCTGCAGGCGGCGGTGGGGTCCAAGGAAGGGGATGGCATAATGACAGTCTGTTTGTGATCTCTGCAGCAGATGCGACGTGAAATTGTTCAATTATACTATGCGGAATCCCTCATAGTCCCTTTAAAAGTGTTAATTATTCTTTCACGAAGGATAATGTTAGCCGCGTTTCAGTTTGTGCACTAAATTTTTATGAGTAATGGCAAAGGCAGTTTGAGCACTACTGTATTGAAATTGACTCATATCAGTTGTATTAAAAGGAAGATTAATCACATAACCACAGTGCGGTAAGTAGCTTTAACCTGTTGAGTTACTTGGTCGGTAACTCCTCACATCGAGGAAATTGTAGTCTTTTGGGGGATAGGATACTGGCGAAGGCAAATGGTAATAGTGATCAGGATACGAGATGACCAGGCATTGGGGTTTTTTTAAATGGTTAACTTTAAAGGTTGTTAATTTGACTTTGAGATTAAAGAGTATCTACCTAGAACAGAGGCCAGATTGTTTAAAGCCAAGCCATTTTTCAGCAATTACTCAAAAATAACATTGCAGAAAGAACCAGAGAGAGCTAAAAACTGAGTGGAATCATAGTCACTGTAACCTCTTTTTCTATTCCACTTTATATTTCTTATGAATTAAGGACTGGATTGCATACATTAATTCAGATGTGGAAACAATCAGAGTAATAAGGATAGTATTATATCCTTAAAAATCTCCAATGCTGGTAGATATTTTGGTTGTAAGTGATAAATCATTTATTTTATAAGGTAGATAATGTGAAATCCAACATGATGGAAGATTTTAAGTGATTCCTATTCCCCCCCCCTCCCTTTTTTTAAAGAATTTTATTACATTGTCTAGTTTTTTTCTTCCTCAAAATAAAAAGTCAATTGCATTAGCCCCAAAGTTTTAAACACCTTTCCTTTTGCCTTTAAACACACCTCTCCACTCCTGGCCCCCACTGATTTGCTTTCCATCCCTGTAGTTTAACCTAGAATTTCACATACACGTAGTCATACAGTAGTATGAGGTCGTTTGTGTCTGACATCTCTCATTTAGCATAATGCTCTTCAGATTCATCCATGCTGGGAGGTTTTAGAAATTTCACAAATCAGGTTGGATTTAACATATTCAAAATAATTTTCAAAAAGCATTAAGCATCTGGCATTTTCAGTGCTAAACCCTTTTATCTGGTAGCCTTCATTTAAGAACAGTGCTGGGGCACCTGGGTGGCTCAGTCGGCTGAGCGTCCGACTTCGGCTCAGGTCATGATCTCAGGGTTCATGGGTTCGAGCCCTGCTTTGGGCTCTGTGCTGACAGCTGAGCCTGGAGCCTGCTTTGGATTCTGTGTCTCCCTCTGTCTGCCCCTCCCCCACGTGTGCTCTGTCTCTGTCTCTCTTTCTCTCTCTCTCTCAAAAATAAATAAAATGTAAAAAAAATTTTTTTAAGAACAGTACTGATCTAGACCAACAAGAGCAATGCTTAATACACTGAATAAGCACATGAATAAATGAAATTGTGAACAAAATAATAGGCATCTATTATAAGATGTTGAGTGCAGAGAGAGTTGTAGTTATAAACTGGGTGGAGCTAAAGAGAGATTAACCTGGCTTTCAAATTAATGCTTCCTGGGAGAGGTGATGATATTTCAGGATCTGGCTTTAAGGAAGAAAGCTTGGTTGAACTGGTTGGGGAGGGCATCCAAGAATACCGGGTGGCTTCTGGGAGTAGTCTCTAATGCAGAAAGTAGTAATTGGATGAGGGTGGGGAAAGAGTAAATTTGTTTTAGGAGTGGTAGACTCTGGTACATAGGAACAGTAGTGGTTCATTAGCTATAAAGTGTGAGAGAACTGTTTTTCTGCTGAAGTGAAAAGGGTAAGAAAGACTTACATAAATTCTTTTTTTTGGGTGGTTATAACTTCCCACCCCTTCATTTTGTTCCCCACTGTTTCCATGTTACCTATGTATAGCATATATACAATAAATATTTACTTGGTAAATATTAAAGTAAATTGACGTTAGTTTATTGAGATGAAATAAAGTAGTCTGTGTGTTATCCTATGTTTTAGATGGATATAAATATAAAACATTTAGATTTTGGGTGCCTGGCTGGCTCAGTCAGTAGAGCATGTGACTCTTGATCTCGAGGTCATGAGTTCAAGTCCCATGTTGCACATAGAGCTTACTTTTAAAAAATTTGGAATTTGCTGCAATTACATTTAACTCATTTTCTTCCCAGCCTCCCCACCAATTTATTTTAAGATACTTCGGGATATCCTAAAACAAGGGCTCAAAATTACCTGGCCCACATAGCAGACCTAATTAAAAAATAGTAAGGGAACTGTTGTTCTACCGAAGCATAGCATCCAGTGCTGGTGTAAAGACCAGGAATGAGGGTGGTGTTCACTCTCCATATTTTTAAGAAACTAGGGTCATTCTTTAGTTGAGAAACTAAAATCGTTAATTGACTTCTGGAAGCTCGTTAAAAATTACTGTATTTTTCTCTCCCTCCGTCTCTGCCCCTCCCGCTCTCAAAATAAACAAACATCTAAAACATTATTTAACAATTACTGCATTTCTTTTACAACCTTCTGTTTGTGCCCCTCAATTTGAATTGAATTAACATGATCTTTAAAGAAGGATTTATGCTATCAAGCTCTAGATTTGTCATGGGATATTGACAGAGTCGTCTGGGGTCAGTCAATCCTTTAACCTCTTTGGGCCTACCAGTTAGTTTCCTCATCTAGGGCATGCAAAGAGGATTTTACCAAGTTAGTAATTTTCTAATTCTGTTGGAATAGGAAAGGAAAATAGTGGACAGAAAGGTTTAGGGTTTCCTACTCTTCTAGAAAAACAATTTTGCAAATTGAGCTTTTGGGTAGGATTTTATTTGAACAAGGTACCCAACCTAAATAGAAGTTGTTGACCTAGTTGATCTCAGAACTTCCAGCTCTGAAATTTTAGGATGACTTTTCAGTCATGTAGGTTTTACCTTTGAATCTTAATTTAGTATAGAAACCCCACTCAAGACTATTAAAAATGCTATCTGCATCAGATAAACTATCAGTACCATTTAGAAGGAAGTAAATTAATGGAATATATTTTTTTTTATTGGAAAATAAAGAAGCTGGGAAGGGGCATGGGAGAATTGTTGCCTTATTTTTTTAACCATTTTGTTTTTTTGCTCTCTCTGAATCTTAAGAATTATAGAAGATATTTATAAAGTACTAGTTAATCCTTACTCTTCAGTGTTAAAAGCAGCTTAAATTTTAATCTTAGCTTTTTTGGCACTGAGCATATATCTTGCAAATAAGTTCTAATGCTGTTATCCAAGAACAAAGATGCCATCTGTACTGGATAGGTTCTTTATTTGTTACAGATCACTGGATGCATGAAAAATGTGATTTTTAACTCAGGGTAACTGAATCCACAATATACTAAACATGCTTTATGGTGGCTTATAATGGGTTTCTAGTTATGGAATAATGTAATGATGCTTAAGTAGCATTAAGTAGCAGCATTTGTGAGCTGCATGAAACCTGAGAGATACAGCCTGATACCTCAATGCAAATTAGACTACTGATTCTCAGAAAGGTTACTAGAGTCTCCTAACTCCTAATTTTTCTGAGCCATTTTTACCTTTATGTCAAGGTCAAATCATGCCTGTTCACATACTTCATTCACACCTTTTCATGTGATGCTACAGAGCCATACTCTGCCTCCTTCAGTTTATGGCATTTGGTCTCAGAGAAACTGAAAATCTGTTCTGTAAATACAAGTTACTTATTGTTTGTATTATTTAACTGGATGCTAATAATTTTTATTGCCCTCTTTGGCTCCATGGATTGCAGGATGAGAACTTTTGTTGGACAGTATTGATTTGTAGCTTAAATAGAAGTAAATACTTGTGAGCCCATGTATAGAATATGTACTTTACCTTGGCTTTAATCATTTTTAGAGCTAGATCATTTTGTTTCAGAGTACCTAAAGTATCAGTTAATGAGGTTTTTCTCCTGATTTGTCAGTGTTTAGTAAGGAACTTAAAATTTTTTTTTTAATGTTTATTCATTTTTGAGAGAGAGAGAGAGAGAGCGCGAGCAAGCAGGGGAGGGGCAGAGAGAGAGGGAGTCACGGAATCGGAAGCAGGCGGAAGCGGCTCTGAGTTGTCAGCACAGAGCCCAATGTGGGGCTCGAACTCATGAACCTCAAGATCATGACCTGAGCTGAAGTTGGACGCTTAGCCGACTGAGCCACTCAGGCGCCCTGCCCCATAAGAAGCTTTAATGTCCAGAAGTCTATAAATGTTATAAATTGAATTTGAAACAAATGTTACAAATGGAATCATTTAAGCTTATTTTGGTATGTTATTATCCGTCCTTAACTTTAACAG